CCAGCAGCAGCAGCAGTTGTAGTAGTAGTAGTAGTAGTAGCAGAAGTAGTAGCAGCAGCTGCTGCTGCAGTATCACCAGCAGGAGCAGTAGCAGCAGCAGGAGCAGTAGCAGCAGCAGAAGCAGTAACAGCAGCAGGAGCAGTAGCAGCAGAAGCAGTAGCAGCAGAAGCAGCAGCAGCAGTCTTCCTATCTCTGTTGCGCACAATGTGATGTTGTCCCTGTTTGTTTGTATTTATCTGTCTCTTCGTTTCGTTCTATTCTTCTGTCTCCTTGTGGGGTGTCTCCTTGTGGGGTGTCTCCTTGTGGGGTGTCTCCGCAGACACTGAAGGGGCCTGTGTCTCCTTCTGAGGCGGAGGCGTCTCAGTTAGCCGAGAAGGAAGCAGCAGCAGAAGCAGCAGCAGCAGCACTTGCTACAGCAGAAGCAAAGCTGCAGCAGCTGCAGCAAGCCTCAGCAGCAGCACAAAGAGCAGCCGCCAAGGCCCGTGGTGTATGTACAGATGCTGAGTTACGTCTACAAGCAGCACAACATCATGCAAGACAAACTAGCTGGGAGCAGCAGCAGCAGCAAAAGCTGCTGCAGCAGCTGCAGCAGCAGCAAGAAGAGCGACGCCAGGCCCTGCGTAGCTCCTTCGCTCGCGAGCAGAAGGCGCAGCAGCAGGCTGCAGCAGCAGCAGCAGAAGCAGCGGCGAGAGAAACAGCAGCAGCAGCAGCCCGTGAGGCTTCAGCAGCGCCTGGAACATCTCCGCAACAGCAGCAGCAGCAGCAGCAGCTGCAGCAGCTGCAGCAGGTGCATGCATCACTCCAGACCCGCGTTCAGCTGTACATACACCCGAGGTGGCAGGGGGGCCCCCCAGATACTGCGGGTTTATTTGCTGCTATACGGAGGCTGGTGCAGCAGCAGCAATTCAGTAGGGCCCCTGTGGGGCCCCTTGGGGAGCTGTTGTGTGTAGACAGCGCTGCATGCGCAGCAGCAGGAGTTCCAGCAGCAGCAGCAGCAGCAATCCTTGAAGAGCACCTAAAGCCTCACGCATCAACCTTTCTGGTTAGCTCCATATCGGAGCAGCAGCTGCTGCTGCAGCTGCTGCAGCAGCACCGATGGGCCCCCCGCGTTGCTGCTGTTAGCTATGGCTGCCAGCCCTACGCCCCACGCCTCACTGATGCTGCTCTGGGTATCCCTCCAGGTGTATGTACACTCTATAAGGCCCTCCTGAAGGAAGAGACAGTAGAGACAGCAGAGACAGCAGAGACAGCAGAGACAGTAGTGCAGCAAACCAACAGACGCAGCGACACACGCAACCGCATGCCCGTGGTGAGGCATACTTCAAACTGCTGCTGCTGCAGCTGCTGTTGCTGCTGGTGATGATGATGATGCTGCTGCATGCTGCTGTAGATGCCAGACCTGCGTCTGCTGTTACGGCTGCTGCTGGCAGTCGCGCTGCTGCTGCTGCTGCTGCTGCTGCTGCCGTCACAAGGTGCGGCTTTCATACATGCTGTTGCTGCTGCACTTCCTCCCGCAGCAGCACCAATTTCATCAGATCTACCTGCTGCATCTGCTACTTCACATGCTGGTGCTGCTGCTGCTGCTGCTGCTGCTGCTGTTATTAGGTTGGAGTGCATTTCCTAGTGGACGTAGCTTCTATAGAGCGCGTTGCTATAGCTGAAGACGGTCATCAGCTGCGGTCTCTGCTGCAGGGGCCCCCTGGGGGCCCTTATGGGGGCCCCTCTGGGGGCCCCCCTGCTGGGGGCCCCTCTGGGGGCCCCCGCGGTGTATGGTTGAGAGGGCTACGAGAAGGATATGGGTGGAGGGACTTCGTACACTTGAGGAGACAGGGAAGAGGGACAGAGGGTCTGCCTGCAGCAAAAGAAGGGGGGCGGGTGAGAGCTAGGGGCCTGGTAAGGGTGATGTCTCTGGGTAGCGACGCAGCAGCAGCAGCAGCAACAGCAGCAGCAGCAGCAGCAGCAGGTGATAGTGCTGCTGCTGCTGCTGCTGCTGCTCAAGGAAGAGATAATGCTAATAAGAAGACAGAAGAAGCCGGGCCTGAAGAAGCATTAAAATTATTAGAGAGACAACTGCAGCAAGAGTGGAGGGCGGAGGAGAGAGCGCTGCAGCAAAAACAAAAAAAAGAAGCAGCAGCAAAGAAAAAACTTGAAGAAGCTGCTGCTGCTGCTGCTGCTGCACGAGAAGCAGAGGCAGCAGCAGCTGAGGAGCTCCGCGTAAGCAAACTGTCTCCTCGTCATTGTCTCTACGGCCTGTCTCCTTTCTCTCTCTGTCTCCTGTCTCCTATTTAATTTATTTAATTTATTTATATCGCCTCTCTCTCTATTTAATTTATTTATCTGTCTCCTCTCTATCTAATTTATTTATCTGTCTCCCCTCTCTATTTAATTTATTTATCTGTCTGTTGCCTGTCCCTACTATTTAATATATTTATCTGTTATTTATCTGTCTCCTCTCTCTGTATTTACTATGCTTAGCTGTCTGCTGCCTGTCTCTCTCTGTATTTAGTATGTTTATCTGTCTTTTGTCTGTCTCTACTAATTAATATATTTATCTGTCTCCTCTCTGTCTCCTCCCAGAGATGTGAAGAGAAGGAGACGCAGCAGCAGGCGGCAGTGTCTCTGGCGAGAGACAGCAGAGACGATGCACGAGTTGCTGCTGCAAACTTCAGAAGCCAATCAAACACTCTCTTCAACAACGTAAACCCTAAACCCTAAACCCTAAACCCTAAACGGTACCCTGGGATTCTTGTCGCCTCTCGGGTCGCAGGGGTTGCGTCTCACATATACTTTTTATTGGGGTTTAGGGTTTAGGGTTTAGGGTTTAGCGCTAAGCGATGAAGAGGAGGATGCTGTTATTTAGGGTTTAGGGTTTAGGGTTTAGGGTTTGCTGCGCAGGAGCAGTTGAAGGCCTTGCGTGAAAAACTCGAAGCAAAAGAAAGCGAGAGAGACACAGAAAGGAGACAGCAGGAGGTGCTGCAGCAGCGGCTTGAGGAGACACTTGCTGCTGTCTCTAACCTGCAGCAAACGCTTGAGACGACGCAGCAGCAAATCAGCGATAGCAACCAACAACTGGCGGATGCTGCTGCAGTAAGCGGTAACTCGTGCTGCTGCAGCAGCTGCTGCTGCAGCAGCTGCTGGTGCTGGTGCTTTGCTTGTGCTGCAGCAGCAGCTGCTGCTGCTGATGCTGGCCCTGCTGCTGCCCCTGCTGCTGTTTTTGTTGTTGTTGTTGCCGCTGCTGGATGCGCTGCTACTGTGGCGTTAGCTGCAGCAGCAGCAGCAGCTTTTGCTGCTGTTGCTGCAGCTGGAGTTGGTGGTGGTATTGCTTCTGCTGCTGCTGCTGCTGCTGCAATTTTTCTGTTTTGTTTGTAGTGGCGGTCGGAAGCAAATAAATATATTTATACTTATTATATAACTATAAATATATTTTTTTATATTTGTCGCTTGTTTATGTCTCTCTCTCTTCTGTCTCCATTTTGTGTCTCCTTTGTCTTCAGGCAGCAGAATCTGCTGCTGCTGCGCTTCGTGCTGCTGAGGAGAGGGTAGAGCAGCAGAAGGCGGAGGAGACAGCTGCTGCTGCTGCTGCTGCTTCTCGTCAGCTGCTGCTGCAGGAGAAGAGACAGAGTTTAGAGGCCCTGAGGTCTCAACTAGAGGTAGGGCTTTATGCATGCAAATAGAAATAAAGGAGACAGTTGCTGCTGTCTCTTTTGGCTCTAACTGTCTCCTTTGTCTCTTACTGTCTCCTCTGTTGTCTCCTTTGCCTCTAACTAGCTGTCTCCTTTGTCTCTACCTGACGGTCTCCAACTGTCTCCTCTGTAGCTAACTAACTATCTCTGACTGTCTCCTTTGTCTCTAACTAATTGTCTCTACCTGTCTCCTTTGTCTCTAACTGTCTCCTTTGTCACTAACTGTCTTCAACTGTCTCCTTTGCCTCTAACTGTCTCCTTTATCTCTACTAACTGTCTCCTTTGTCTCTAACTAGCTGCCTCTAACTGTCTCCTCTGTCTCTACTAACTGTCTCCTTTGTCTCTAAGTGCATGCGTTGCTGCAGCACCTCAGGTCCCTCTGCTCCGAGCTTCCGCAGCACGAACAGCTGCCATCCATATCCCCAGCCGTTCGTCTACCCCTATCGCACATTACCAGCTAGCTAGCCACCAGCTAGCTACTAGCTAGCTACTAGCTAGCCACCAGCTAGCTACCAGCTAGCCACCAGCTACCCACCAGCTACCCACCAGCTAGCTACAAACTAGCCACCAGCTAGCCACCAGCTAGCCACCAGTAAGTAGCTAGCCAGTAGCTAACTAGCAGCTAGCTAGCAGCTAGCTAGTAGCTAGCTAGTAGCTAGCTAGGAGACAGTGTTTGGCTTACCTGATGGTGTTGCTGATTGCAGGAAGCGGAGCAGCGCCTCAATTCGCTGGCAATTGAAATCGAAGTACTGCAGCGAGAAACTCGCGACCCTGAAGTAAACCCTAAACCCTAAACCCTAAACCCTAAACCCTAAGACCTAAACCCTAAGCCCTGCTGTCTCACAGACATTCTCTTTGTCTCCGTTTTGCTTAGTTCGTTGTTATAACTCTGCTGTCTCTGCCCTCTTCTTTTTTTGTCGCTGCTCTTCCTCTCCTGTGTCTCCTTTTAAAATATGTTGTCTCTCTTTGTGTCTCCTGCCCTTGTCTCCTGTCTGTCTCTTTCTCTGTCTCTTTCTCTGTCTCTTTCTCTGTCTCCTTGTCTGTCTTCTTATCTGTCTCCTTTCTGTCTCTGTCTCTTATATGTCTCTTATCTGTCTCCTGACCTGTCTCCTCTCTGTCTCCTCGCTAACTCTGTCTCCTTCTCTGTCTTTTCTCTGTCTCTTCTTCTTCTCCTTGCCTTTCTTCTCTCTGTCTGTTTGTCTGTCTGTTTGTCTGTCTCTTTGTCTGTCTCCTTGTCTGTCTTTTTATCTGTCTCCTCCTGTGTTTTTTTTTCTTTTCTCTACCCGTTTGCTGCTGTTTGTTGTGCATTATCTGCTGCTGTTTGTCTCCTCAGCAGGTGTCTGCTGAGCTGGAAGCCTCTTCACGTTTGCTGCTGCAGCAAGAGCAGCAAATAGCTATGCCATTGAAAGCTCTTAAACTCGCAGAGACAAACGCGAATATCCGAGCACAGAAGCTCCTTCAGGCTGTTGAAGTCTCTTCTAAACAGGTTATCTTCTGTCTCCTTTTGCTGTCTCTTCTTCTTCTTCTTCTTCTTCTTCTTCTTCTTCTTCTTCTCCTTTTGGTGTCTCTTCTTCTTCTTCTGTCTCTTTTTGCTGTCTCTTCTTCTTCTGTCCCCCTTTGCTCTGTCTCCTTTTGCTGTCTCTTCTTCTTCTTCTGTCTCCTTTTGCTCTGTCTCCTTTTCGTCTCTCTAATAATAATAATAATAATAATATTTATTATTATTATTATTATAAATAATTTATATTTATATATTTATATATTTGTTTATTTATGTTGCAGACACGCAGAGACTTTCGGACTGTACTAGAGTCTTCTTTACCTCATCGAGGGTATTTAGTGTTTAATCATCAAAAAGGCATTTTAAGCATTCAGACAAAAGAGAGAAATAAAGAATATATAAATAAAGATATTATATCTTTATCCGGAGGCGAAAAAAGTATTATTCAACTGGCTTTTCTTGCTGCTCTTGCTAAACGTAGCAAATCTCCTATACATATTTATGATGAGCTGGATGTCTTCATGGACGAACAAAACAGAATCAAAAAGTAATAACATCTTCATAAATATAAATTTAAATCAATATATAAATAAATATAAATATATATATATGTTATATTTATATATCTGTCTATATCTGTATGTTTATCTATCTATACATCTATATATATATATATATATATATATGTATGTTTGTGTTTATCTATCTATGCAACTATGCATGTATATCTGTCTTTCTATATATCTGTCAATATCTGTCTATCTGTCTGTATGTATATACATATATATGCGTCTCTATATACATATATATCTGTCTCTATATATCAGTCTATATATATGTATATATATATATATATATGTATATACGCATGTAATCGATATATACTGACAGTATGTATGTACATTTGTTTGAGGTGTATCTGTATATTTATTTATATATTTATTTATATGTTTATTTATATTTATATTTATTTATATATTTATGTATGGCTATGCGGGGATTTGTACTGAATAAACATAACATAAAATATTAATAATAAATAATATATATGTATATATATATGTAGATATATGCTGCTACTTTTACTGCTTTTGCTGCTGCTGTTGCTGCTGCTGTTGCTGCTGCTGTTGCTGCTGCTGCTGCTGCTGTTGCTGCTGCTGCTGTTGCTGCTGCAGCTTCACGATGCTGCTTGAGATTGCTCTTCAAATGCGGAAGCAGACACAATTTTTTTTTATTACCCCGCACTGTGAAATTCAGGGCGAAGTGCAGCGTAGGCTGAGGAGACACTTGGTTTAAATTATCTGTCTCTTTCTGTCTCTTTAAACCCCCTAATGCAGATATATATATTATATATATATGCATATTATTATGCATATTATTTATGTTGTATCATGCTGTTGTCTCTTCAAAGAATAACTGTCTCTTTATCTTACTTCCTGTCTCTCTATTTTCGTTGCTGTCTCTTCATGTACCTGTCTGTCTTACATATATTATTTCGTCTGTCTCCGTGCATGGCTTGCTGTCTCTTTATATATATATATATGCTTATATATATGTGTATATACAGTGAGTGCTTGCTTTGACTGTCTCCTTGCATGTGCTGCTGTCTCTTTATATACCGCAGTCTATGCATATTGTCTCCTTCTGTTGTCCCCTGTCTCCTTTCACTATCTGCTGCTGTCTCCTTCTACTATTTGCTGCTGTCTCCTTTTACAGTTTGCTGCTGTCTCCTTTTGAGTTTGTTTGTTTGTTTCACAGGTCGATACAGCGCAGATCTCGTCAAAGTATTTAATATACAAGGAAGTGTCTCCTTGTAGTTATCTCCGCCTCTAAACAACGCCTGTCTCCTCTTTCTTCTCTCCCGCCTACTGGCAAGCTAGCTAGCCAGATAGCGAGCTAGCTAGCTAGCTCACTATCTGGCTAGCTAGCTAGCTGACCATCTAGCTATCTAGCTAGCTGGCTACCTCAGTATCTAGCTAACTAGCTAGTTGGCTAGCTAGCTAGCTAGCTAGCTAGCCAGGTGGGTATCTAACTAGCTAGCTATCTAGCTGGCTAGCTAGAGACAAAGGAGTTAGTTGGGGCCCCCTGAGGGTTTAAGAGCCCTTCAACTTTTAGAGTTGAAGGGCAACTCTTTTTGCTTGCATTTTGCATTTGCGTAATTTGTCTCCTTTCGTCTCCTCAAGCAAACAGATAGAGGCATATATATATATATATATATACATATATATATATATTATATTCACAGATGTATATGTATATATGAATATATATATATATATAATAAAAATAATAATAATAAATAATAATAATACTGATTACCTGTAGAAGTGCATTCGTCCCTGTCGCCCCTTTCATAGATAAACAAATAGAATAAACATATATATGTATATATATTGTATCTATATGTACATATATCTTTATCTATATCTATATGTATATATATATATATATCTGTATAAATATATATACAATTGCGTTGACTACATAAGAGTAAACATCTACTACAGCCAAACCACTCATCTATTTGTCAGTGTATCTACAACTACTTATGCATGCATCCCTATACTAATAAATAATAAATATATATATAATATATATATATATCATACTTTACAACACTGTCCCCGCTAGCATTCACATTATGCAATGCGAAAGTTTGTCTCTGTCTGTCTCCTCTGCGTTTTCTTTTTATTCGTCTTAATTAAAGGGGCCCCTGTTAATATGGGGGCCCCTCTTATCAAGGGGGCCCCTGTTAGTGTGGGGGCCCCTGTTAGTGTGGGGGCCCCTGTTAATGTGGGGGCCCCTCTTATTAAGGGGGCCCCTGTTAATATGGGGGCCCTTCTTAATAAGGGGGCCCCTCTTAATGGGGCCCTTTGGGGGCCCCCAGTCCTTGCGAGTTACTGAGGAGACAGTTGAGGGAGGAGGAGACAGTTTATTAGGGAGGCACAGAGAGGCAGAAGCTCAAGGAGACAGACTAATTTGCTTCTGCTGCAGCCAGTTGATTCAAAAGCCTAACTATATAGCAAGCTAGCTATATAGCTAGCTAGCTGGCTGGCTAGCTAGCTAGCTAGCTAGCTAGCTAGGCTTGAATGAATTGATAAGGAGACATGAATTAACTAATCTTTTTTTGTTTCTGCTTCTTCTGCTGGTTTAAGGGCCCTCTGCACAATCTCAAGTGTATCCGGAGACAGCCCTGGGGTGTCTCTAATTCTTATTAGCTGCTCTTTCATTTGCTGCTGTCTATGTTTATCATATCGCTGCCAAGGTAAGAAAGCCCCAGCTAAACGCGCTGCTGCCTGCGGGTTAAACGAATCCACCTGTAGACCCCAGCAGCAACAGCAACAGCAGCAGCAGCACAAGCAGCAGCAGCAGCAGCAGCAGCAGCAGCAGCAGCACAAGCAGGTGCAAGGATATAAGTTCTTAAAACCTTAAACCCTAAACCCTAAAAGAGCAAATTAGACAGTGTAGGAAAGAGAGACAGAGAAGACATCAGAAGGGGAGAGGAGACACTTGAGGAGGAGACAGCAGGAGACACAGACAAAGTGTAGAGAAGGAGACAGCTAAAACCAGAGAGAAGTCAACTAAAGCAGAGACAATTAAAAGCAGAGACAATTAAAGAAGAGACAGCTAAAGAAGAGACAGCAGCTAAAGAAGAGACAGCTGAGGAAGAGACAGATAGTGAAGACAAGCTTGAAGAAGAGACAGACAAAGGAGAGACACTTGAATTAGAGACAGACAAAGAAGAGACACTTGAATTAGAGACAGATAAAGACAGCGACTTCTTTATATACATACACATATATATATATATATACATATATATATATATATATATATATATATTACCTTCAGCACAGCATCTGCGACGACTTGATATCCCTTCGCATCTTTTCTATGAAAGTGCGGCCGATTATAAACAAAAGCAGTGAAGAGTGAACGGAGACGATTAGGGTTTTTAAAGGTGAAAGCATCATGCTGCTGAAGAGACAAAACTCTTTCTACTTGGTCTGGGAGGTCTGATGCTGCTTGAGCTCTAAAGTATTTATCTATTAATAGAGGGTCTCCTGAGAATATCATTACATAAACATACTCATTTCCTTATCTTCAAGCAGCAATCTGTCTCCTTTTCATTCATATACACGTTCTTTACTGTCTCCTCTATATATATATATATGTATATAATCATATATACATATTCTTTACTGTCTCCTTTTTATTCATATACATATTCTTAGTGTCTCCTTTTTATTTACATATCATACACATTCTTCACCGCCTCGATATATATATGCATATATATATATATATACATCTATATATATACTCATTCTTAGTGTCTCCTTGTTTATATATCAAGCACATTCTTTACTGTCTCCTTTTTATTTAACAATTTATACAATTAAACCGAGAAGCAGCACTTTGTCTCCTTTACAGAGAGAAGTAAACACCTTCTCGCTGTCTCTTCATTAATATTATTAATATTAATAAGATAAATAGTAATATTATTAATATTATTAATATTAATATTATTAATATTATTATTAATATTAATAATACTATGAATAAAGCGTGGAGCAGCACTGCCTCATTGAGTTTTATAAACTCTTTTCTTGTCTGCTTATTTTAATTTTATTTATTTCAATAGAAAAGCATGCAGCAGCAACAGCAGCAAAAGCCCCCCAAGCCCAGCAGCAGCAACCAGAGCAGCAGCAGCAACAAAAACAAAACAACAACGCCACCAACAGCAGCAGCAGCAGCAACAGCAGCAGCAGCAGCAACAGCAGCAGCAGCAGCAGCAGCAGCAGCAGCAGCAACAGCAGCGTACCTGCAGCATCTTCGAAGAACATCTGGAAGGCCTTCTCTCTCTGGGGTTGCTGCATATCTGCTAGAGCAAGAAGAGCAGCATATTTATCCGTCATACATTTGCTGCTAGTAAATTGTTTAAAGACAAACTCTGCTGCTGCTGCGTCTCCTGGTGCAGCAAGGAGACGAAGAATCGTATTACGCAGTCTCCTTCTAGCAACATGTGCAGCATCAAGTGTCTCCTCTTCTCCTTCTGGAAGCGTTAGCTGCCTATACAGCTCAAGCATCTCTTTATGAAATGCATTATATAACTCTTCTCGCACTGTACGTACAGCTATGTTTACTGCATCTGGATCTATCTCTTTTATCTGGATCTATCTCTTTTAACTCTTGAGACAGAGCCTCCCTAGAAGGAAGTTGAAGAGTCAGAGCCTGAAAAGGAGACAGTTCGTTAAACAGCAGCAGTGTCTCTGTCTCTCTCGTGTGGGGTGTGGGGTGTATAACCAGATATAGAGGAGACAGCAGATTAAACCATCAGCATTAAATAGACAATGAAGAAAATAGAAGATAATGTAAGTTAAATATAAAGAGACAGACAAAATAGATAAGAGATAACAGCATTAAAAGAGTTAAATAAGAGACAGAGGAAGAAAAGACAGACAGAAACAAACAGGAGACAGCTAAAAGGAGACAGCTAAAAGAAGACAGCTAAAAGGAGACAGTTAAAAGGAGACAGTTAAAAGGAGACAGCTAAAAGAGACAAACAAAAAGCGACAAAGGAGACAGATAAACAGAGAGAAAAGAGACAGACAAATAGGAGGAGACAGACAATTAAAAGGAGACAGACAATAAAAAAGGAGACAGACAATTCAAAGCAGAGAGAGAGAGAGAGAGATAGAGATAGAGAGAGAGAGAGAGAGAGAGAGAGAGAGAGACAGAGAGAGATAGAGAGAGAGAAAGAATTAAAAGGAGACAGTGAGAGACAATTAAAAGGAGACAGGTTGCGTACTTTGATAGAGAGGCCGCATTCTTTATCTTGTAATGTTTTAATGAAAGCATCTGTATACAGCTGGGGTAATTGCTCGAGTTTGTTTACATCAAGATTACTCTGAATAAGAGAATTAATTCTATTTAATAATACTTTAGTAGAGAGACAGTGCGATGCCTCCCACCGACTGAAGGCATCCGTATCATAAGACATTAAGAACGCTGTCTCCTCATCATTATAAAAAGGAGACACCTTCACAGGGGCTGAGAAACCTCTAAACAGAGACAATACACAATCTTCTTCAATTCCCTCTACCTCAAACAACTGCTCCTCTTCAACTAACTCCAATACCTGCAATATACGCAAACCCTAAACCCTAATAAACCCTAATAAACCCTAGTAAACCCTAGTAAACCCTAATAAACCCTAATAAACCCTAATAAACCCTCATAAACCTTACTAAACCCTAGTAAACCCTAATAAACCCTCATAAACCCTAGTAAACCCTAATAAACC